AAAAAAAAAAAAAAAAAAAAAAAAAAAAAAAAAACCACAAATGCAAGATTCTGTTTTTATTTACATTTTGGGATGCGACCTACTTCATAAAACCTTTCCTCACATCTACTTCTAAAGAATGACAGCTAAATGAATAAAAGTAATATAGCTCTACTGAAGCACAGCTTACATAGCAGTGTCAAAAATTACTTATGGATATTGAGGCACCATTTCAGAGTTGTTAGGAAGAATAACCAACTGTTTTCGAGTTTCTTGTAAATAAAAATTGTTCGGATTTTTGGAAAAAATAAAATAAACAAATGTTTTGATTAATCATCCTCTGGCCCTCCATAACCTTACTTGGTGTATACCACATTTCTTGCTATAGTTCTTTTAACTTGTTTCTTTCTCTCTATTTTCCCCTCCTGTCCTGTCTCAGTCTCCTTTTTCTTCCCAATAGTCACTTCTAACCATAAAATTACTGAGGGGAGGGGGGAGGGGAGATTATCATTGCTATTGTTTAGGTTAGCATTGGTTAAAAGAACACTCCATGCTGTAAAGTGCTATTCTCTATAGCTTTCTCTACTTGTCCCAAATGTTCTTCTCTTTCTTTTTGACTTTGAGGAGCTTCTCAGCTATACAAATAAGATAACTCACAGGATTTATCAACATCAGCACTACTGACATCTGGGCCGGACAATTCTTTGTTGTGAGGGGCTGTCCTGTGCATTGTAGGATGTTTAGCAGCATCCCTGACATCTACCTGCCAGTAGCAACCCCTCCACAAGTTATGACAACCAAAAAGCCTTCAGATGTTGACAAATGTCCCCTGGGGGACAAAACCACCCCCAGTTGAAAGTGATCCAAATCCTTTCTAAATGGTGTGATCCAGAAACAAATCTTTGTACATATTTCAATTAAATTAAGTCACAATTATTACTGCTTTAAAAAATGACTTTATTAGTCATTTCTTAAATGACTAGAGGTCAAAAATGTTGACCAATACACCTTTTTTTGCTAACTAGTAAAAAGCTACTTACTCTGCCTTTATTCACTCTAATTCATCAAAGTAAAACATTTTAGAAAGGTAAATTTTTATTTTACTTCATGCAAATAATAATACAAAGGAGATTATGAAAATAAGGCAGAAACTGCTCAAAATAGATTTTTTAAAACAGATAAGGAACATGTCAGAGATCTCTGCTTACACTTAAATAAAACAATATCTAAATATTAACAAACCTCCATTTACTTGACTTTTCCGTCTTACTCGAGATATCTGTTTATTCGGCTTTTCTCCGGCTCTTGGTGTTGAGGTGATCAAATTATTATCTATATCACGTTCAATTCTACTCCGTTTTGAAGGATTTTCTCTCTCTTCCTTAATACGTAAGAGAAAAACAACATGTATTAAGCACAGTCATTCTGCCTTATGGGTTACACTTTTAAAATAATAAAATATGGCATAACAACTTTCCCCTGTTTTTCCATATCTAGGAGAAACAAATTCCAATTAATATCAAAGAGTGGTAAAAAACACAAGAAAAAATTTGACAGTGTTGTAAGAGTATTAATGCAATTATAATATACAAAATATAATTATAGCATCCCCAGTGTCCATTAAGTTTTCCATGCTATCGAAATATTGAATTATACAATGTACTCTGAATTTTCAGCAGTTTTCCTTCATTTTTATAACTATCCTAAAGAACAGAGATCATTTCCTTGAGCATTAAGGGTAGGAGAGAGAGCCCCACTGAACATGCTGGCAAGTCGCACATCACCAAAAAATAGGGCCTGCCACTGCCACACCCCCAATGCCCAAATTAACGCCAAGTAATCTACACCTTAACAAAGCTCTGTATTCTTTACTCTATATGGGGCAAGTCCACATGACCAGTTTACGCTATTCTTGCAGCATTACTGACTAAAATAGTATACTTCCAAGCATTAGTCTGATTTATTTTTCTCCATTTACATATCTATTTTTCTCGTTTGTAAAATTTTTCTAGACTCATCTACCACGAGTGATTTTCTTACAGTATTTTAATATTGCCCTAATTCCTTGCTGTTTTAATGAGACTACCTGAAATCTTTTGATAAGGAGTAGATGTCCAAATCTATACAGTATAATTCATACATATGATTAACATTCCTACTCAATTGGAATAAGTTTTCTACTTTTTTATATTTGATGCTTTTACCCCCACAGCAACTAATAAAATATACTACTATGCATTTTCTTTTTTTTTTTTTTTTTGTCTTTTGTCTTTTTCCGTGTCCGGCAACGGATCGCAACCCTCAGTGTTGCCCCCGTACCGGACCGGGGACCGGCAACGGGATTGCAACCCTGGGTGTTGCTCCCGTGCCTCACTCAGCCAGTGAGCGGGAACCGGTCTGTATGTGGGATCCGAACCCTCGGGCGGGAGCGCCGCCGCGCTTCCCAAGCGGCGCACTATCCAGTGC